TTTTTTTTATTTTTCTCTTTTGAATGGGGACGTCATTCTTCGCTCAGAGTTTCAAATATTCATATTTAATGTGTAAATCTTATTAATTTCATGTTGGCCGTTCACTTCAAAGACGGATGGTAGTGATGGGCATTACTGCATATGTTTACAAGGTTTCATTGTCTTATATGGGGTGTGGCATTTTGACTATTGTTATAGACGTGCACAATCATTAGTACCTTCGATGCCCCTGCTAAACAATCATATTTATTTAAATATAATATTCATGGAGAGCCACCCAAACTGTTTTTAAGGAAAGCTCACTTTAATACTCCTTATTATAAATAATATTACTATTTGCCATAGAAGGCACCTTCCTTGGAAGAAAGGCGCACCTCTAATGGTCTCATAAACTTTATTATGGTTTAAAAGTTTTATTTTTATTCCTAGTTATAAAATTTGAAATTTTAAAAATATATTAATAAATTTATAAATATTTAGAAATCTTGAAAATGGACAACTCAAACAACTTGTTATAATGTGTATTATTTGTATGATTTAAAAAAAATTCTTCATATTTACATATTTTGAGATCGAGATGATCAATTGGAGGGTTTTCCAATATCGTAACACCCTCTTCTAAAGAATTCTTGAGGTGCAACTTACTTCATCAAAATTAGGTTGCAATCTTATCTAAACTGTAAAAATGGTTCCCATGTGCTACATTTTGCACCCATATTTTTCATCCTTTCTATATTTGTTACTGATCAATGTTTAGAAATCAAAACAATCTAGAGTTGTTTAGTTGGGGACTGCTCATTGTAAAAACAAAAAAATGTCTAAAATTATTAGTTCCAGATTGCTCATTGTAAAAAAATAAAGCAGTTCAAAACTACAAATTGTAAACCCCTCATTATAAGGAATCATAGGCGGCATGAACTAATAGTTTCATGCCATTTTAATTTCTTACAAAAAGTATAGATCAAAGTGGTAAGGAACTGTTAGTATAGATCAAAACTAAATATTTTTTGAATCATTTTTATTTCTTTTTTTTAATGAATCATTTTAGTCAACGTGGCCATGAACTGTTAGTTCTGAATGACTTTGATTTAGCAAGTATAAATCAAGGTGGTCCGCAAATATTAGTTTCTATCAACTCCTTGTAAGGAATCAAAATGATTAAAAAACTATTTAGTTTTGGATGCTACAAATGGTATAGATCAAAGCATTATGGATTTCATAATTCCAGACCATTTTAGTTCCTTTGAAAAGGTATAGATCAAGTGATATTTGATTCCTTTCCTATTTTGGACTTTTTAATCATGTGATTTTAATAAATTTAGTAACCTTTGTTAAAAAATGTATAAAATCAAAATGGTTTCGAATATAGTTCGGAATTGAGCATAAATAATAATAATAACAATACTAATAACAATAACAAGAGATATAAATATAAAATATAAAATATATGAAAAAACATAAAATATAAAATACATAAATTTTCTTAAAACATTAGTAATGAAGTATTATAAAGCAAACTTTCTCTTTATTTAAGACATAAAATTTGATGATACAAAATTCTTTCATATTCCTAATATGAACTTGAAACCCAAAAAACAAATAATAATAATAATAAATAAAAGGATCTCGATATTTTGACAAATTAAAATTGTTCCATATGCAAAGAAAAATTATCAGGACCATGACAACATGACGTATAAAGATATAAATTTTTTTGGATCTTTAAATTCAATTTTTCATAAAAAAAAAAAAAGGCACCAAAGAATTTAGAAATCTCAATGCAGCAGTGTTTGGTGAATTGGCTGACTCACACTATTCTTGTGCAGCCCCCTACAAAATATATCTCAAAGATGTATTTTCCATACAAAATTTTAGAGTCAAGTAATCTCAATCATCACAAGTATTTAAATTTGGAATTTGTTTAAAATTTTTATAAATGTTATTTTTTAAATTCCTTTTGCCGTTGTCCATTTTATCTTTTAGTGGATGTAAAATTATTTGACATCCATCTTAAAGATGGAAGTTAGACAAGGAACCGCACAATAATAGGTGAGTCGGCTCAGTCACAAAAACTGTGCTCCTTTAGACAATGGAAAATTGTTTCATGCGGGTCTGCATTTCTACATTTGCAGTCCCAGAGGCATAGAGCATCCATCTTAAAGATGGATGCAAATAGGAGGTCCATCTAAAAACAATTGAAACTAACCGTTTAAATATTTTTCAATAGAATTATTATTTTTAATTTCAAAATTTATCATTTTATCATATTCATGATGTCTATGTAAGAGATTATGTGTCCTTTAAAATTAGGTCAAAAAAGTCCATCTCAAAAATAGATTTTTAAGAGGTGACTCATGTCTACACAGACTAATAATAGAAGCCGTATCTTTAGATAATTGTCATGCTTGAGATTACTTAACTCCAAATTTTGGATTGAAAAATATATCTTTAAAATATATTTTATAGGGAGACCACAGAAAAATAGTATGAGTCGGCTTACTCACCAAACACTTTTCCTAAAAAGAATAAAGAGGAGACATTTGAAGGTCATCCTTAAAGCTGATACGGCACATGGTTCTTATGGCACAGCCACAAACAAACGATCACCACCACAGAAAACCAGAAAGGGCAATTTACCTACGTACCCGGTAATTTTTACCGAAATCACCCCGTGGTCCATTGTACCAAGTGTAATTTCAATAAAATTACCGGGGCCACAAGTATATTTCCCAACAAAAAGACAAAAAGAGAAAATATCACTTAAAAAAAAAAAAAAATTAGAAAGGTCATTTAAGTAGGCTACCACCGCTAAAAGCATTAATGGATCAAAATCTTAGAAGGATTATTTAGCTCTAAATATGTCCTCAAGTATATCTTTTTTTTTAAAAAAAATATTATATATAGCCGAGGCTCTAAACAATCAAATTAGAAACAATCAAATTATAATGCACTTCAAAAATTTCACTAAAAGCGGTTGTTTTGATATTCAAATATCCTCGATAGCACCATGCATTAACATGAAAAAAAAATGGATTTCAACTTTTGGAAATAGTATATCTTAATATGCATTTTTGGACAGCAAATTTTCAAGATTTTCAAGTTTTCATAGTTATGCTCGATCTATATTATATTTTCAAAGCTTTAAATTTTATAATTAGATATGAATATATATTTTAGGGTTATATTAGAGTAGGGTGCTCACACTACGTAGTAATTTATCATTGTACTTAACAAAATTTGAACACATAAATACTATTGTAATAGATACCATTGTTTTGTATATGGATTTTTTTTTTTAATAAAGACAATTTTGGTAATTATGATATGTACGACGTCATCTACATGGGGTGTAACATCACCCACATGAAACACACTAGTCGAAAGTGCTCCATGTGGGTGATGTTCCACCCCATATAAATGACATCACATCCCTTCAAGTGATAAAAAAAAAAAAAGTTTTTATACTTCCTCTACAATATAGAAGATCCATGCATCCTCTACTATCCAGTTGATCAATTTTGATCAAGAGAGCCACTCACCGTTTGATCTTAGATTTCACGTCTCAAAGTATTTTATTTTTAGTTTTGTTTATACAAATTGTATGAATATGAAATTTGATACATGCCATCTTCTCATTAAAACACACCTATAAAAATTATTTAAAATAGTTTTCTATAAAATGTAATAACCAAAATACCCCTCAAAGATTTCAGGGGTATTTTGATCATTTTATTTTATTAAAAATATTTTTTTTATATTTTTCGCTAGCGCGAGTTTAACACAGGATTGATCGTCCAAAACTTGATGTCAAAATAATTTATAAAAAAACAATTAAAAATAAAATAGTCTAGAGACGTGACATTATGATTAGGGCAATCTTAACCTACTATTCAAAATGGACAGTTGAATAAAGAGAAATACATAAGTTTTATGTGATAAGGAAGCATAAAAAACTTACCCAACAAAAAATACCCTTAATAAAAAAAATACTCCACATACGAAACAAAGAAAGTAAAAATGTCCGAAATTATTGAGAATACAATAATAAATTACTCTATAATGTGAATACCCTAAGATAACCTTACATTTTAAAACTACCACAAATATTTCCAGTATTAAAACCACGTTTCTTGCCCCTATTTAAAGGTGGGCTCTACTTTGATTGTTTAGAGCTTTAGCTCTCTACAAACGGCATATTTTTAAAAATGGGAAAAGTTTATATAAAGTTACAACAATGTAGAATTACATATGCACCTCAAAAATATATCGAAAAGGCTGTTTTAATGTTGAAAAGCCATTTCATTTTGGCCATCTCGACATTAAGAGGAATCTAAAAAATAATGCATCTTGCAACACATTATTTAAGCCATCCATTTTCAAGATTTTCATATGTTTATAGATCTCATTGATTTTAACTATTTTTGAAGTTTAAAATTTTCTAATTAGATATGAAAATAAATTTTAAAATAATCCTAATAATATTTTTCAAAATTGTCATGATAAAATTTGGAGGTGCTGGATTGTTTTAGGTTGCAACCTTATAAAAACCGCACCCTTTAAAAATATCAAAATCGTTCTTGATCAGGGTTGAAACGTACTGGCACATGGAAAAAGTCAAGTAATTTAACCCACCACCAAAACACTTCTAAAATTAACGAGAGGCCAAGGGTTCATGACCACTCCAATGATATTTCCACCTAAAAAGAAAAAGAAAAAATTTACGTGGATTACTGTAGTTTCCCGTTATTGAATATAAAATTAATTAAAACACTTTCTGCATACCTACCCATAAAAAGCCACTTTTGTGCTACCAGATACTTCTCCTCAAAACTCAATTATTGGGGGAGCCCATAAACAAGAACCAGAAATAATAAAAATGAGTAAAAAAATTCAGAAGAATCGAGTCAAACAAAGCTCATGACCAATGTAAACACACAAAAAAAAAAAACATTAAAAAAAGCTTCAATCGATTGCGATTTCGATCACAGCATCACAGGAAATAACGAGCGATTTCGAACACAGTATCACGGGAAATAACGAACCCAACATTGCGAATGCAAATCGTGATGATCCAGAAAACAAAGGGACCACGCATAATTAACAACTCCAATTACAGGTCATGTGAAACAAAAGAGAAGGAGAAGAAGAAGAAGCACCACTGCAACAATACAAAACACAGAGAAATAAAAGAAGAAAGAAAAGCATTGATGGGGACCTAGTAGTCGGTGGTGGGGAGTTGCTCGTGGGTGTGAGAGATGAATACAGTCTCGTAAATAAGCCCTGCGAGGCCACCACCGATGAGTGGTCCAGCCCAGTACACCCAGTGGGAGTCCCATGACCAGCTCACGACGGCGGGGCCGAAGGAGACCGCGGGGTTCATGGAGGCACCGGTGAAGGCGCCACCGGCCAAGATGTTAGCCCCTACGATGAAACCGATCGCGATCGGTGCGATTATACCAAGGCTGCCCTTCTTTGGGTCGATTGCGGTGGCGTACACAGTGTAGACGAGGCCGAAGGTCATAACGATCTCAAACACGAATGCGTTCCAAACGGAGACACCCGACAAGCCGAAGGCGGAGGTGGTCAGTCCACCGGTGGCGAACTTGAGGAGACCACAGGCGACGACAGCGCCAAGGAGCTGGGCGATCCAGTAAAGGATTCCGCGGAGCAGAGTGATGTTGCCGCCCACAAAGGCACCAAATGTCACAGCAGGGTTCACATGTCCACCGGAAATATTCGCTCCGACCGACACAGCGACAAATAGTCCGAAGGCGTGCGCCAACGACGCCGCAACGAGCCCCGCCGGCGTGGTGGATGCATTGTCAGTAAGCTTGTCTACAAGAAATACAGAATTGATTCATTAGACACAAAAAAAAGGAACAAAATTCTTAATCGAGTTCTGAGTGCCATTGTTTATGCATCTTATCTTTTTAGAGAGAGAAACTTACTGAAAGCCATGCCAGAGCCTTCGCCGGCAAAGACGAAGATCAGGGTGGAGATGAACTCAGCCAAGGCTGCCTTCAAGGCATCAGGGTGGGTGGCCTCTTCGGCCCGGCCGATTGCGATTCTAGAGATCGGCATTCTCTCTCTAAAACTACCCTTTCTTCTTCTTGTACTTGTCACTCTCTCGAGCTCTCTCTCTCTAGTGGTGTTTTATGCTCTGTGGTATGGCCTTTATACCTGCTCAGAAGAGGGGGCCTTACCGGCTATTACCGGTTGCCGGTCACAAGAGTTAATATTTTTTCCCGCCTTGATCTTGTCCATACAGCTCATCGGCCTCCAAAGCGATCTGAGCCTGCCACGTGTTTATTGAAAATAAGGAACACGTAAGCATGATGTTTGACAATGATATGTTAAGGCGGAGGAATGGGCTTGTCTCAACTGCGGGCTCTCTCTCTCTCTCTCTCTAGAACAGTTGCCTTTGTTTAAGCCACCCGCTATTCATTGATCAAACCAGTGTTTAAAA